TTCTGGGGATTTTTTGTTTTTGATTTTGGAGTTCAATCAACGGTTTCTCTCCAGGATTTCCTGATTCGAAAAAAAAAAAGGAACATCAATCATCAATGATACTGCCTGAAATCGAGAACTTAACGGTGCAAAAAAAGTACATTAACACCATGCAAGGAATTCCCCAATACTTGGTTTGGAACAAATTCAAACTAAACATATGAAGTTGAAAGAAATATAGCACTGAGAGGCAAAAAAGAGATTTCATATGACTGTGCTTTTAAACTACAAAAAGTTCCTTATACAAAAACATTTTTAAGTTTTCATTCTACCTGTAATTTAACAGTTACCATAACTGGTCTTAATAAAAGTTCTCTGAGTCAATTCCTGATCTGAAATTAAAATAACTTCACAAATTCGCTGTCAATTCGATTCACCGATGAGAGAAAATCTTATGCTGAAATCAGCTTGAGAGTTGTGAACTTTAATCTAATCGGCCTGATCATGGTTTGGCTTATTGGCGGCAACATTCTTGAGTTCAGTGAGCCTCTACAGCCTTGGCATACCTGCTAGCCAGATAAGACAGCCAGAACCGTGTCCCCACTGCCAGCTGAGGTCACCACCAAATGACCCAGGGACAAGACAAACAGGGTGACAGAGGAGAGACCGACAAAGAGAAACAACCCCAGGGGGGAGGTAGAGCCAAGGCGTGGAGACCGAGACATTCTGACAAGGATCGTTGCCTTGCCTTCCTGGATGGAGGTGAGACAACCTTGGGATTTTTAATAGGCTTTTTTGGGGGTAAAGATGTGTGGGGCTTTTGTTCCAACCAAGATTTACTTATGGGTAATTCCAGAAATTAGGGGTCCATTTTTGTGTCCCTGCCACATCTGACATATGATTTTGTAAGTTCAGAGCACATTTTCTAATTTCTAAGAGTTATGAATTAATGCAAATCACCTGCCAAACAAATAGTAATAGTTTGAAATCAATTCCAGTGATATTCCAATGTCAAAAACCAAAGGTCAGATGTAACAGGGACACAAAAATGTCACACTTTGGGACCTGTAATTTCTGGAATTCCCCTTACATATTGAAAACCTCTTTATTGAGGGGAAAGAGAGTCAGGGAACCTTGCCAAAGATAGATCAAAGAGAACACAGCGTGATAGGCAGATTGTTTCATGTACGCGTACATTACTACCTCTGAATAACAGATATTGTGAGCTACCGTATGCCTTATAAATTGCTAAGGTATTATAAATTCAATCTGCTGCAACACAACTTAGACTTAGTTAGGAAAAAAACAAACTCCTACTCTGTATGCCAAAACGACTCCTCCAAAAATGTCCTTATATTCTCTGATCCCCTCTCCGAAAAAGATCGCAAACATCTGAAGTATATTCAAAATTTGTACACAAAGACAAACCCTAGGGAAAAAGTAACACTCTAGAAAAGACATCACTTTAAATAACTGGTCATTTGAACAGGGTTTCTGTACCTAAAGGACAATTAAATTCCATGATTTTTCCATCACCAAATTATGAAAATCCATGACCCAATACCGCAATTTCTTGGTCTCTTTGGACTTACAAAGTTGCAAATAAAATTACGCATTTTCGCACCTATTTCTGACAACAGAAATCACTCACAGTATTTGAAAAATTCCATGACTTTAGTCATTTTTACCAAATTCCATGACTTTTCCAGGCCTGGAAAACAAAAAACAAATTTCCATGACTTTTGCATGACTTTTCCAGGCTGCGGGAACCCTGTTTGAAACTCACAGTAAGAAACTGAGAACCAATTCAAAAAGCCATGACATGGGACAACGGCCATCGATACAGACTTTGGCTTCATTTTAGCTGTGTCCATGTTAGTATCACATGCACATGTGCCTCCACTAACAGCAAAAATCATTTCTTGATAACTGTTTCAGAATAAGCCATTAACGAGTTCAATTTGAATAAAATCTATTCTGCGAGGTAATGCTTCAAAGGCAACATTCAAATTTACTACTACGAAGTTTACATTTGGTCTTGCTCTTTTTTCTAAACTTGAAGAAGGCAAAATGAAATTTCAAATCAGGAAATACAGTTTAAGGAAAAGAATTGTAAGGAGGAAGCAGAAAAATATTTCAGATGTGGGGTTTTTACTGCGTCATGCCTAACCTGGAATTTCCACCTCGGTTCTTCCTCTACCTTGAGGAAGTGAACTGACAAATTTGTTGTTGAATCTCTGGAGTTCCTGGCCAAGCCTAAGCCTCACCTTCTTGCCACCGTCAGGTGAGGCACGCCACAAAAAAAACCACAAAAAAAACAAGAGCAACATTCAAAAAAAAAACTAGCTCGGCTTCCTGTGTTACCCGTTGGTGGTTTATTAAACACCGGACGGAAATTGTCCACAATCGGGTTCAGGCATCCTCTAGTCTCCTGATCAACCTGGCCTGTCAATAACCCCAATTGCCATTACTTCAGGAAACGGCAATACTTTCTAACTGCGCAAATAACTTCCAATGAAAAACAAAGCATTTATTCATTGTTTTGTCGTCTTAGTTCAAGATGTAGGACTACATGTGTACATGTAGTTGGTAGTTCTTTAACATTTCTAATATGATTACGAAGCATTTCTGTTTAAAACTACGACTTTATGAGCAAAAATTGGCAGGATATAAAGGAAATCCCACAATGACAGACTACGTCTCAAAACTTTTCAGGTGGGGAGGGCAGACTTGCTGTGATATGGGGGGGCAGCCTCTCCTGAGAAAAACAAAGACTGCAACGCCCTCCTTTCTCAATGCTGGTCCAAAAGAAATACCAAAACAAGGCACCTTAACCTAATTTCTATAGCTGTGCCGCCACAGAAAAATAAATATTTCAAAACATGCCCCAAAAGCTTGGCCCATTTTTCAAAGCCGGGTTTTTAGTATGCCAGTGCAACAATTTATTGAAGTATTTCCAAAAAAAAAAAAAAGAAAAAAACTTTGCAGAACCTTAACCTAATTTCAACCTTTGGAGAAAAAAAATGAAGAAAAGCCGAGGTTTAACTCATGGCGGACATTTCAGCGGGTTTCAACATCAATCATGACATCTGCTCGCACGTTACCAGACAAACCATGACATGAGTGATTGTCGGGGCTTGCAATTCATGTTCACGACTTAACACCTGTGAACTCTCTGACAAAGGCGAAGGAGGTCAGAGGTCAGAAGGGTTAATGTAACATGCCCTGCTTCGGTGGGTAATAAACTGGAAAGAATGCAGGCTGGACAGGGGAAAGAAGGAAGAAATCTCCACACGCCTTCAGGCAGCAGATGTCTTCATATTTGTAAGAGTACAATATACCAAGTACCAATGGCTATCATTGCAGTGAAAGCTGGCCTTCGTCAGAAAGACCACCGCATTATCTGGAGGAAATTAATCCATTTACATAAGGCTTCATGTCCACATTTCTAAGCAATAAAGGCCTACATAAAACACAACCTTCTTTCCACATTTTAGGCAGAACTTCCTCATGCGATTTCTTCAGAACAATATGGAGGGGCATCAGGAAAAAAGAGTGAAGATTGATGAGTTTGAAATAAGGCATACAGGTAGTTGACATGTTGGAACTGAGAATAAATATTGATCACAACCAACAGAACATATTCAGACAAAATGCCGAGAACGTTTTTTCACTAAAATTCTTTGTCTCTCCTGTAACACAAGTAAATATTTTACATGTGCAAAAACAAAGTACATATATGCCCGCTCCTACCTCAGACACGTTCTTAGCCTGTTTACATTTTCAAGCATGATGACTGAGTGGTTATTTAAAGCACTAATAAGCTGACAATCATATGCAGGTTGCTCGCTCGTCCAGTTTGTGACATTCATTATACAAATGTACCTTCAACCAGCAGAAACTCGAGTATTAAGCAAGGAACACAGACATACAGTACTTGAAATATTTTTCAGGCGAAAAGCAAAAATGTGGAATTCAAATAAGCCTAAATTGATACAAATGTAAGCCCAGGCACATATTACTGTTTCTACTTGTGCAAGAAGATTTATGCAACTGTAAAGTGAAGGATAGTTCCTCAGCCCTGCGGTAACAATTAGTCAAACAATTTCTGGTGCCAATTATGCACCCATATCATTCCCACCATTTTGTAACAAATTCAGGTAGAAGGTAGCATTTCAGAGATGTTCAAACAACTTCTTGTACAAATCAGGCACTCGGAAAGCTAAAATAATATCACCACCATTTTGAAAAAAATGTCAGTCTTCCTTGGCCACCAAACAAATTTTATTTTTCATCTGGCCTTCTTTTTTGGCGTATCAGGAGCATGTCTAGGGCAATCCTGGTCTCCAAGTTCTTGATTGTTACATGTGTACTTGGCTTGGAGAGGACAGGCTCTTGAGTAATGGGGACAGGTGGGGTTTATGACAGGGGATTGGAAGAGGGAGGGAGGGAGGAGAGATGGATAGATTGGGGTGAAGGATGGGGTAGATATGAGGGCTGGGCAGGGTCTTAGCTAGTAATAGGGCATTGTGAATGTGGGCCCCTGACCCATTCCTTTTCCAGAGATGAAATTGCCCCGTGGAAGTGCTCTGAATTGATGTGCATCAACGCTTATTATGTTAATCAAGTAAATAGGTGATAAATTATCTTGAGGCTGAACTCTGCAGTGAGGGATGACGGAATGTAAGCTCAGTCAGGGATAAAGTCAAAACAACAAACAGAAAAAGAACGGGAGGCATACTGAGACCATACATTAATGCTCATTGGTAAATTTCAGGCTCTTGCTCTCCATATAAAAGTATGCCTACATTTAGGCAGACAATAACACATGCCACACAAGGAGAATGTGACATCAACACTGGTTAATGCCTCCTTCACTTCAAGCCTACTGCACAACTGGAAGTTGGGAACCAGATCATTTCCCCCTGTTCTTATTAAGTTACAGAAGGAGGGGAGAAATAGCATATAGTACTGCAAACAACACTTTTGTTTCAGGATCTATAAGTAAATGGTCCACTTACCTTGCCAAAGCGGGTAGCGTAGGACCCTGTGAGCAGGGAATGAAACACGATAATCGTCTCATCCAAATCCCAGACAAAGACTCGCTGACAAAAGTAGACAGGAAAAAAGGACAGTAAGACGTAAGACAAATTGCGTACTTACCCTGTACATCTTTAAAAATTTAACACTCCAACCTAGCTATAAAAATTTAACATGAAACAAAATGTACCCCATTTGTCACCTTCTGTTCTACCTGGAACCCCAGGCAGTGGAAAGACACATAATCATATGTTACCTGTCCCCACAAAATAGAGAGATATTGATATTTTTTAAATCAGCAGAAAGAGAGCTTTCCAGTGGTATGTACATGGAACACTTAGGGTGAGTAGAAGGTGACAACGTGACATTATTCTGGCAGCTTTGCCTCTTTGTTCCTGACCATTGTTTCAACATTTCAGACCAAGAACAAATACTATACTCTTGTTGTAATTGCTGAGAATGACATTTCTAAATACATGTATGTGATTCTGTGAAATATTTGGAATTAAATAGGAGACGGGTCACTCTTTCCAACATTACCAAACCAAAAAATTGACCTTCCCTTCAAGATGACTTCAAACCCTCAAAATAGGAAAGAGTGGGAGGTGACTTAACTCTCATTGTGTCGTGACAGGTCACATTTTGCCAAGTCTTACCTTTGGATTTAAAGGTTACTTTGAACAGTAGGGAACATAGAAAGTGTTATTGGACAGTACAAACTCAGTCTTTTGGCAATGTGCTCCGAGCGGAAGAAAAGAGGGCGTGGGTTTTTTTGGTAGTCAATGCGCAGGTGCACCATGAGGCCCGCAAGTATATTAGCATTTGACACGGAGCACGCTGAGTATGCGCGACTAATTTACTCCGGCACGTATGGTCTTTGCGTACACGCAGAACGCGTGGAAGAACCCGCTTGTAACCACCTGTCTTTCTTTTCAGCTTGGGGCAGATAGTTTCAGTAGTTTCAGTCAATTTTAGTTCGTAATTGGAATACAAATGGTGGTTTCTTTTGAATGATCACTCTGTGAGGCATCCAATGAAAATACCTGTTACATGGGTGTAAATTGATGACTGCTCCAATTGAGCGACATTGTGCTAGATTCTTCACAAGGTCATTGGTGACATATCGTTCATTTCGTGAAGCTAGGAAATGAATGCGAGTTAACCCAATAACCCTTGTGGCAACCTGGATTACAATATTGGGAAAACACTTTGAGACTGCGCATGGCAGATCGTTCAGATCTTGGTGTTGATCCCCGTACCTCAAGACCGTCCTCCGGAGGCGGGGAAGGGTTGTTCCTCCTCCCCCTCCCAGTCCCACGATTCCTTGCGCTACTTCCTTTACTACCCTGTCTTCCCCTGCCATTGGCGTCATCCAACTTGATGGACGAGTCCGTGGTGAAAGAACTTTCAACTGCAGAGGAAAACAAAAATACGAGAAACCAAATAATGAAGGAGATAAATAAATCTGAGAGAGTGAAATATCGAAATGCCGAGTGCAACCTCCGAGTATACATCTTTGGTCAGACAAGGTCCTGAGTTACTCAAAAGACATTAATAATTTGTGACCCACTCTGTGAAAATGAGTCACAAGTCACCCGGAGCCGCTTTGGAGTTTTACTTTGTAATAGATTGAGGAATTTGAGCTAATAATAAAACTGGACGTTGTGTAAATTTTAAAATGTTGAGGATTCCAATTGCTTAAACACTGCTTCTTTCAAAAGCTTCAAACTAAAAAGCAGTTCTGGTGACACGTGACTCTATGAACATTCTGCAAAGCGGGTCGCATTTTATCAGGAATCAACTTGGAAGACAAAACATCAACCCTGAAGCAGCTACTGGCTTTGCATGGATCATTTCCATCTGCAAAGTGGCACATGTACATTAGGATCACAATCTTCTAAAAAAAAGAAATCAGACAGCGGAAGGAAAAATGCACATCTGAGTTCGTGATCTCTTTTTGTTTGTTAAACAAATCTGTCACAGTTGGACTGTCACATACATCTAAGTACACCTATACATCCTGAAAATAAACAAAATGTTCTTGACACCCCCTACTGACTCGGGGTTCCATTCACTTTGCAAACGAAGTGTTCCTTTCCAGGACAAATCAGAACCAAACAATATGTATTTCAAACAGTTTGCTTTTCTCTCACCTCAATGACCTACTGAAAGGACATACATGTATCTTGTGTACATACCAGTTCCTTCTGACTCATTTTTTTTTCAAAGATCAGACATTTTTCAACAAAGCCACAAAATAACAGTCAAGCCAATAGCCACACCGGGTCAAAGGCTAAACATGGTATTCATTCAGTTGCTGTAGCCATAATGAACATTTGACAGATTGGAATGTAACAGAATGGAAATGGAACAAATGTGACTCAAAACTTAACATCAATTTTCAAGGTGCAAATTCGCAGTTCAAATAAATTATCACAGGCCTGAGCACAACGCAATATTTCCAATACACTAAGACAAAGACATACACCTCCAAAATGCACAACAGCCAAAACACCAGTAGGCCTACAGTACATGCACCACCGAGTCCAACCTCGTTAATGAAAGCATGGCTAATACAAAATTCTGCTTACAGCAAGGAAATCTTGTAAGTCCCAATCCTTTGTTTTCATTCCTAATAATACCAGGCTCCCTGTTGTAACAAGGTAATTTGCCAGGTCCCAAGGGCATCTTATTAATGAGGTTCAACTGTACTGTACGTGTAGTTGAAAACAAATTCTGCAATATTTTTGAAGCCTCGAAAAATCCAGCCACCCCTATGATTCACGTACGCACTGTTGAAACATTTATAACCCAATTCACAAGAAGATAACGTGTTTAATTAAAAAAAAATGAAAACTGATTACTGTAATTATGGAAAGGAAAGCACCAATTCTCAGCAGATCCAGGGGAGAGATTAGTGGCAAATAAGATATCCACAATATAATCAGCAGTGGGTTTGAGGGCCTGACGGCAGCATAGGGTCTATGGTATACATGTACGTGTGCATTTGTATTTGCCTTCTTGTGTCCTACATCAACTTTTGTAAAAACATCTTTCTGGTATATGCAGGAGCTTCCAGATTTTAAAAGGGATTGTTTGAAAAAAAATTCTGAAATCAGGAAAATCCTGATGGAAAAAATCCTGAAATTAGGAAAATCCTGATGGAAAAATCCTGAAACCAGGAAAATCCCAATGGAAAAATTCTGAAACCAGGAAAATCCCAATGGAAAAATCCTGAAACCAGGAAAATCCTGACAGAAAAAAATATTGAAGTCAGGAAAAATCCTGATAAATCTCACCCCGACAACATTCAATTTGGTATTTACACTTTGCATCTACCGGTAAATTAATCAAAGCAGCACAAACAAAATGCAGAAATCACAGCTAATGTTTCAAAGAAAAAAAATTTATTTCACTGAATATAGGAAGAATAATAACACTATGAGAGTAAAGAGGCACACAGCTGTTTGGGGATTACATTCACTGATTTTTTTTTAAACATTTTGATATTTCGGCACAATTTATGACAGCAAAACAGAAGTGCTTGTCGGGCAATCTAGCCCTTTTCAATTAGGCTGGGGATCCAGAGGTGAAGAACAGTGTCTTTTCTCATCAGGGGAGAGCGACAGAAAAGAGAAGAGAGAGAGAACGACGGGGGGGAAGAGAGTGGGAGAGAAGACGTTTGGCCTGGGGCGACACGCGCTCACCCGCATTTTTTACCGGGACGGTAAACGAGTCCCCGCTGTAACGTGAAACCGCGCCATTGCTGCGAGAAAAAGAGAGAGGAAAGATGGAGCAGAGGAGATGGAGCAACCGAAAGAGAAAAGAGACAAGAGGAGGAGGAAAGAAGGAAAAAAAAAAGCATCTGAAGGGAGATGGAAGGGGGGGGGGCGAGAAAAGAGAAAAAAGCAGGGTAGCTGGCTCCACTGGCTCTGACCTTTTTATCGTTTCCTTTTGTCTGAAAATTGCCGAGGACAACGAACTGGGATGGACTATGAGCAAGGGGGATAGTGGTGAAATGGGGTTTTTAGGACATGTGCATGGATGCAGATTTCTTCGCCGGGTGACAATTCATCTCAGAGTCAGTTTGGCAAAACCAATCACCAAGCGGTAAATTGAAATGAGGAATTTTCACTGTCTGGATTTGTCATTCTTAGTTTTTGAACCCAGAAAATTCATATTCCACACAAAAAAACTGTGATATTGTCAATTACACTAACGTGTGATTTAATGAAAATGACGGGAAATGACACACAAATGCCATGCATTATGGATACATGTGAAGATCTGTCCATCTGTTAACTTTGCAGAAACATGTTTTTCAGATTCATCAAACTTAAAATATGTGAGATTAAACTTAATTATTTCCAGATTCCAATAAGGAAGGAAACTGATTGACCATTCTGTCATACTAATTTCCAATTTTTAATCCACATCTAAAATCAGAGCTTTGTATCATTAATTCCCAAAATCTGGCCCACAGGCTTTGTTATTCATGCTCCATCCATAAACAAAATACAGCCAAAGGTCAAATTAAACAACACTGCACACAATGGGAATATGGATATCACAACAGTTCCAATTTATGAACGTTTCATGCATTTTGCCCAAATTGCAATCCAAAACTTAATTGGATGATGAATGCTTAAAATAGCATGAAAACAATGGAACAAAAATATACATGTATATGCTAGTTTCCATGACGAACATCAAAAACAATGGAACATTCCACCTGCGTGATATATAGATTGTTTCACCAAACCACGACAAAAAAATGAAACGTTGGATTGGCTGGTTATAATTACCTTCGTTAGCACTACTGGGCGCGTCTTGTGGGGCCACTTGGCCTTCCAGAAGAACAGGAGATTCGACAAATTCTGTAAAATGCCCAATCTGGACATTAGTTTTTTGTAAACATGCACATCTTTTTTCTGTTGCCATGACAACCCATTCCTTTACATCTTGGCCATTCTGAATTCAAATTTGTAATTCTCCCCATAGAAGCTTTGGTTAAACATGTTCACCAAGTAATGGGCAATTCAAAAATGCATGAAAAGTTCATAAATTCTGCAAAAATGTGAACAGAAATAAGGCAATGGGGGAAAAAAAGGAAAACACTAAACTAGCGCAAAAGGGGCAACAGAATTGTTGAAAAGAGAAAAAGCACTGCAAACTAACTGTAAACAAATAGCTCTTCTAAAATCAATGTAAAGATTCATGTTCATAAAATGCCTTTATCTAAAATCGGTAACGAGCCAGGCTGACAAACAAGTAAATAAGTTTAATCATGTGATGAGCAAGCTGCATGTTATTAAAACAGAGAGATGCAACATCCTGAACCATATAAAAAGCTTTCATAATTCAACGTATTGCAGGAGGGTCATTCTATAAATGCGGCTATTTGAGTCTGTTTCAGCTGACGGGGGTCATCTGGCATGGGAGTTATTTGTTTGGCGGGTAATTTGCATTACCAGAAATGTCCAACATCATATGCCAGCTATGACAGGACACACATAGAAAATCAAACCCAAATTCACAGAACCCGGAAATATCAAGGGAAAGAGTTGGCTCATATTCTTATTTCAAAATCGCAGCCGTGCGAAGAATATTCAAACCAGCTGAAAAGAACTTTAGCCTTGCTTGCATTAACAATGGCATACTCACTTTCAGACGGTAATGGTGCTAGCTGATATGTCGTCGTCGTCGTGGGAACGGATGAAGGTGTGGGACCCAGCGCGCTATTTGCCATGTACGGACTGCCGTAGCCTGGTGCCGGGTAGTACTGGTTGAAACCACTCTGACCATATGTACCATAGGAGCCATACTCTCCCTTATCAAAGCACAGAGAAAAAAAAGATGTCTCAATTGTGATGTAACAGAGCTTGAAATTACATTTCCCACTTTCTCAATTTGTATAAATACACTTGTGTAGCCAGATCCCCCAAATTGACAAACACTTTCTTATTTCTTCTAGTAATTTGGGTTTTTTGTATCGGAAAGAGAAGACTGAGCTCTGGCTTTTGCGCACAGCTAAATTTGGCGTAATGATGAAATTGGACATGACATGCATGAACGTGCAAGTAAAAATGCAGAGACTTCCAACTGACTTTCATTGGGCAGGACTCTGGAGCCTTCAGCCCAATAAGGGGCTCTGGTGAGTGGCAGCATGTTGCAAGTTGTTCATTGATGCCAAAATCAGTAGTCTACTACCAGTGACACATTAGTGTTTGACCAGATAAGTGGGCCGGTTTAAGATAACTGCACATGTATATACCATACTCATAATCACAGGTAATAAACGATTCTTAATTAACCCTAACCATGCTGAACCCAACAAGGTTATGCAGGATTTCAATGGTCCCTAGGGGGTTAGCTATGCTGAACCCAACAAGGTTATGCAGGATTTCAATGGTCCCCAGGGGTTAGCCATGCTGAACCCAACAAGGTTATGC